ACGCGGGTTCGGTGCCTCTCCACGTCACCCTCCGCCTCTGCTGCTGCGTTCCCTTCTACTACCCACGTGAGCAACCTTCCACTCACAGCGACTGTGACTTAGAGCGCCTCTCCCACGTCACCCTCCCTCTGCGCTGCGTTCCCTTCTACTACCCAACGTGAAGCACACTTTCCACTCACAGCGACTGTGCTTTACGAGAGCCCTCGTCCACGTCACCTCCGCCTCTGCGGCTGCCTTCCCTTCTACTACGCACGGTGAGGAACACTTTCCACTCACAGCGACTGTAGCTTTAGAGCGCCATCTCCACGTCACCTCCGCCTCTGCGGCTGCGTCTCCTTCTACTTACCCACGTGAGCACACTTTCCACTCACACGCGACTGTGCCTTAGGAGCGCCTCTCCCAACGTCACCTCCGCCTCTGCGGCTGGTTCCCTTCTACTACCACCGTTGAGCACACTTTCCACTCACAGCGACTGTGCTTTACAGGCCTCTCCACGTCACCCTCGCCTCTGCGGCTGCGTTCCCTCTCTACTACCACGTGAGCACACTTTCCACTCACAGCGACTGTGACTTAGAGCGCCTCTCCCACGTCACCCTCCGCCTGCGGCTGCGGTTCCCTTCTCTACCCACGTGAGCACACTTCCACTCACAGCGACTGTGCTTTAGAGCGCCTCTCCACGTCACCTCCGCCTCTGCGGCTGCGTTCCCTTCTACTACCCACGTGAGCACACTTTCCACTCACAGCGGACTGTGCTTTAAGACGCCTCTCCAACGTCACCCTCGCCTCTGCGCTGCGTTCCTTCTACTACCCACGTGAGCACCTTCCACTCACAGCGACTGCTGACTTTAAAGCGCCTTCCCACGTCACCCTCCGCCTCTGCGGCTGCGTCCCTTCTACTACCCACGTGAGCACACTTTCACTCACAGCGACTGTGCTTTAAGAGCGCCTCTTCCAACGTCACCCTCCGCCTCTGCGCTGCGTTCCTTCTACTACCCGACGTGAGCACACTTTCACTCACAGCGACTGTGACTTTAAGCGCCTCTCCACGTCACCCTCCGCCTCTGCGCTGCGTTCCCTTTCTACTACCCACGTCGAGCAACTTTCCACTCACAGCGACTGTCTTTAGAGCGCCTCTCCAACGTCACCCTCCGCCTCGCGCTGCGTACTCCAAAGGAAGTGATAATAGAGAAGGGTTCGATAATAGCGAACCACAACTAACCTTGTGACCGAAAAATTTCCTTCTGTTTATCTAAATTAGTGCGGTGCAGCTTGAACTTGTATTGAGGATAATTGCACAAATTGGTCAATTATGTACTTAGTTTAATTGATCTAAAAAATATTATTCCTAAAAATAATGATAACCCAAATATTTTTCTTAGTTTGGGTAGTTTTTAGGTTTAGAGTGTTTACTCCATTGGTTAAATAAGATATTTAGATATGAAACATTAAAAATATGCATTTACTGAGTTGTGTCTTATATATTATAAGTTCGTATCCCTGTTATGCACAATTCTAGTAGTATCAGTGTCGCCGTCTTTCATCCACTTCTTCTCTCAAACCGTATTTTAGCGCCTTGTGGTCTGCGCACCGCTGAATCGATTAGTCCGGAGTCGAAAGAGAGGTGATGGCCTCCAGTCTTCTCGTAAGAAGTGAAACTTCGAGATATATAGTTCATAAACGCAGATTCACTTTCATATACAAGTTATATAAAGATATACAACATCTCGACGCCTATGCTCCTATTAGGCGATTTCCACTTTTATAGACCTCCTTGCTACTCACATTTTTGCGACAATATCGACTGAAAAAAAGTCTCCTTTCAAAGTACAAGTCCATTGAACCAATATTTCTGGACTGCGCCTTTCTCCACTGTAAAATGCTCATCACACTCACAATTTCATTCGCAATTTCAAACATTTCGTTGACCTTACAATAGTCACCAAAATAAACATTCCCTTCACGCAATTTCCTCGAAGTTTTTAAAGAACTGTTTTCGGAAACCAATTGTTTATGAAGCAATGATTTACACGGGTAGCAACAGAACTCGAAGTTGTTTGTCCATTCAGTCGCGATCGTTTCAGCGCCGTTGCGCACGTGGCGCCCACGGGAGAATCTCGCGCGTTGCACAAACCATCCGACTGCCCCTCACAACGCTCCTTGCCCCTGTTCGATTGATCTGCGTGAAGTTATCTTCGGCGCGTTAATTTGACTAAGTATTAGCCCCGAGAGTGTAGTGCACTTCCTCAGAGCTGGACGGTTTTCGGCTTTCGAGGTTTTTCAACAGTATATCCCACAGAGGGCAACGCCCAGCTAGACAAGTCTAATCTCCGGACCGATCTCCTGGCATGTGTAAGTAGTTTAGTGCATGTCTGTCGTGTGTTCAGTAGAGCGGTGAGGATAACGACAAATATAGAAAGATGGTGATCGGTCCCGCAGGCTCATTGTTAGAGTACTGCTCCAGCAATCGCTGTTTGATCGTGGACACGAAAACTACTGATCAGAGCAGCCGGTCGGGTAGATATTTCCTCCAGACAAGCGATTTGAATTGCTCTCCAGACAGCGATCGGTTCTTCCTAGCTGCTAAAAGCATGTCTAAACTCCCCACGTCGGGATGTCAAACTTAGGTCCTCCGCAGAGTACTGCAAGACTTCAGTTCATGCTTGCAGGCTCTCTTCCCGTACCTTGTTTCACAAAGTTCTCGACTCCCTTCAGAATTGTTCTTGATGTTTTTAATGGTCAATGTACACGTTGCATAAGCGGGTTGTTTCTGTTTCCGATGATTGTGGGACACAATTTTTGCAAGGTGATTTTCACTCACGAGTTGTTTTCTAAGGCCAAGTTTGTTATGAACATCTGCGGTATAACAATATTTAATCACTCTTGTCTTCCCACTGATTTAGGTCACCAATCACATAAAGTCCATGCTGTCTGACGAAGCACTTCGAGTGATGGCTTGTCTGTTTCTTTCTCTGTTGTGATTCCGAGTGCTGCTGACCCAGGCAGTAGTTTTGACCTCAACAGACCTTCAATGACAAAAAATAAGAAGTCGTTAATCGAATAAGCTGATAAGTAATTTCATTTATTTTGCACAAAATTAAATTATGCAGGATCGCAACCACAATGGCAGAAGGTTCCTCAAACAGATTCATTTCAAATATTAGCTGGGCAATCATTACAAGTACTTCTACTCATTTCTAAAATTTCTTCCCCTAATAATACAATTAAAGAATAGTATAAATCATTATTCTCAACAAACAATTAAACATTGATTCTCAAAAAATTCCAACAACAAAACATGTCATGTAAATATTAACGGGAAGATTTTCATAGAATTACATTGTGTTAAAAATCTAAAGAATGAACATCAATCTGGGGCGCGTAAGAATACAAAGAAAATAAGGAACAAATTGATAGTAGTTTGTCGAGATAAAGGAACATATATATATACGTCCCTATCATATCTCTTTCAACAATAGTATCAAAAGAAGTGATTTACGCTCAATGTGTGATATCAAACGACTATGTGGAGAAGTCTCAATCAAGCTGTAGAACAAATATTTATTCCAAATACGTAATTAAGAGCACGGATTTCAACAATGGTTAAACTTTTTAAATTTCGAAAGTTCAGAGTTAAAAGATGATTGATATTACGTGCATTTCACTTGATTTATAAATATTATAGAAAGCATTGCCTTTGAAAATCTTTTGGAACTTATATATTAGGTACCAATATTCCACATACTATACCTTTCTTACGAAATGTTTACTAATTAACTAATTAAATACTCCGTTTATATAATTTACTTATAATTTAAAGCCACTCTCAAACTAATCAAAAAAAGACAGTGTTGGCATTCGAAATTTCAATTTCTAAAAATTTTCAAACTTACGCTCTAAATGCATTTTTAAACAATATATCCTGTACTTTAACACATTTACTTGAAGTATCTTCCTAAACCGGAATTCATTAAAATCTTCATTACACACTATTGAACTTTTGCCAATGTTTTATTTTTATTGATTAGCCATTTCAAAAAGCGAGTTTCTGTCAAACAATAATTCCATCACCATTTTCTTTAGCATTTTATTTTCATATGAGAAAAAATTAAGTAGCAAGAATTTACAGCGTTTTAAAATAAAAAGTTTATAAACGTTTTAAAATATGACCATTTCGACAACAAAATCACGCAAATACTAGTTCGCGCTATATCGTACTACGATAGATAGTACACCTACATCAGTGTGCCTCACATTACTGCAGCTAATATTCTGTGACTATGCTAGATCGCTGTACGCTACTCGCTCAACACTCACGCGAAATAATTTCTTGTTTTACCAACATAACGCCGCTTCTCTTCACTCAATCAGTACATTGCTTCGGAGGACGATACTTCTTCTAATTTTGTATACTTTTATCTCTTATATATACACAAATGTCGCTCACCGAAATAACACCCGTATTTTACATCCTAAATAATAGTGTGTGTTACCTTTTATCAGTGGGAAGATTTTGAAAGGATTTTCAAAAAACAATTCTTTGCATAAAAATCAAAGCAAAAAGATTACATAACAAAAACATTTTCAACATTATACAACCGTCTAAAAACCGTTTAACGATTTGAATTCAAGACCAGAGTCCTTCTTTAATTCTGTATTTTGAAGTAAAATTTCTCGCTGATTTTTTACTCACTCCTCACAGAAGATCATCTCGTGACCGTGCACTCTTATCTCCACCGCAATTATGTGTGATAAACGTCTCGGTTACAGCAGCCTTGAAGTCACCAGATGAGAAATTTGGAGGCAAACACAAATAATGATACTATTATCTAGAAAAAAATGTTAAAATCTCTGCCGATTTTTCGCCTACGCAAATGAAATATAATCCCTAAAGCTTATCTAATTTTCGCGTGCAGAAA